TACTAAATGATTAATGAGAAATAATACTAGCTATATATAAATTAACAATTAAGAAAACAGTTTTATTTGTTGTACAATATTGAATTTTTTTCCGAAAATAAAGAAGTTACTTCATCAACTAACAATAGTTTAGAATAACTTGATTCATCAATTGTACTTTATACAGAAGTAGTTTTGAGCGATAATTTGCAAATACCAGTAACTACTAAATAAATCATGTAGCAGCCGCAAAGCAAAATTTTTATGATATGTATAATAAATCTAAGACTGCGTGACTATGGATGATTATAAGGTTTCTTAATTTCTTTACTGTATAATTAACTTCAACCTTCAAGCACTCTTTTTACTATTGAAAAATTTAAAGTTTTACCCAAAAGTTTTCATATTGAGATTTCCATATTAAATTTCCATAATAATAATAATGAAAATTAATGAATAATTTTCATTCAATTAATCAAAATTCTAATTGAAATTTATCTGATATAACTTTAATAAATTTTAAAATTTTTATTTTAATATATTTATTAAAACTAAAATAATGTCTCATTACAGTTTTCTGTATTATTAAAATTTATCAAAATTAATTAAAGGAGTATGAGCAAATTTTAAATAAAAAATGTTGGATGTACTTATTCTAAAGATCTGCTTGCTTAAATAAATTCCACATTAGGAGTTGGAAATGTCGATTCCATATTTCATATTATTTATCATTAGGTTAGATTTATTCTTTTGTTTATACAGACTTGAACTAATTACAATCCTTATCAGGTGCGAAAAATGTACAAATTCATATTTATGTCTAAAGAGTTTAGTGAAAATCAAATTTAGTTTTTGAGATATTGAGGTTTGCAAATTAGATATTATTAATATTTTGAACTCATACTTAAGATTTTTAATAATCACAGAAAAATGAAATTATATGAATAACTTTTCAATAAATGATTTTGAATTTTGTTTCAATGATCAAAGACAAAATTAGAAAATATTAATGATAATTTTATTTTAATGTTTTTTAACAATAATCAATTTTACTTAAATTCTTTATAGTTGATTAATATAAAACTTCCCTTTGATTTGAATAATGATTTTAGATCTACACCTTAATAATTTACAAATTCTCCTTTCAAAATTAATGCACCTTAAGCCTCCAAAATTGGATTTTGACATATTCTGAGTATTGTACGATCGATATCAACTAGAATAATGTTAATAAATACCATTTTATAAACTAGATGGACCCTCTAATCTGTCTATAGATTATTTTGTCTTTAAATCCCATAAACGGATAGACATATCATCACTACAAGATGCTAATGTAGTACCATCAGGAGAGAAGCAGACTGTATTTATCCAGCCTACATGACCTTCTAATTTGACTTATTATTATCCTGTCCTAACATCCCACAAACGGATAGACCTATCAGCACTACCAGATGCTAATGTAGAACCATCTGGAGAAAAACAGACTCTATTAACCTAATATTAATGACCATCTAACTTGGCTTATTATTATCCTTTCTTAACATCCCATAAACGAATAGACTTATCATCGCTACAAGATGCTAATGTAGAACCATCAGGAGAGAAGCAGACTGTATTAACCTAGTATTAATGACCATCTAATTTAGCTTTTTATTATCCCATCCTAACATCCCATAAATGAATAGAGTTATCATCACTACCAGATGCTAATGTAATACCATCAGGAGAAAAACAAACTGTTTTAACACCACCTTCATGACCTTTTAATTCTTACTTTTATTATCCTGTCTTTACATTCCATAGACGGATAGAGTCATCAGAACTACCAGAGACTAATGTAGTGCCATCTGGAGAGTAACAGAGAGAATTAACACAACTTGAATGACCATCTAATTTGGCTTTTTATTATCCCATCCTAACATCCCATAAACAAATAGAGTTATCATCGCTACCAGAGGCTAATGTAGTACCATCAGGAGAGAAACAAACTACATTTACATAATCTTCATGACCTTCTAATTTTAACTATTATTAGCCAGTCTTAGCATTCCATAAACGGATAGAGGTATCATCACTGCAAGAAGCTAATTTAGTACCATTAGGAGAGAAACAGGCAGTATTTATATCATCCATATGACCAATTAATTTAGATATTTATTTTCCTGATTTTAGATTCCATAAATACAAAAATGTTCCACAACATGAAGCCAATACAGTACTATTTTTAGAGAAACATACTGATTTTATCTCACTCTCTCCTTATAATATAGACTTTATTTTTCCTGTTTTAAAATCCCACAACTTAATTGAATTATCAACACTACAAGAAGCTAAGAACTTACCATTTGGAGAAAAACAAACTTAATTGACCTAATCAAAATGACTATATAACATAATTTACTCTTGTATACCAATATTTCTCCACTTACAATTAAATAATTTTGCTTAATTCAAATTCATTCCGCTAATAATGATATTTTCAAATTCAGATCCACTTAAGTCGCATCTTACTAAATTTGCTCCTATTAAGGAAGTATTTCTAATTCTAATATTCTCAAAACATTATTCCTTCAAATCAACCTTCATTTAAACTAATAAATGAAAAGAATTTGATCCACACTATATATATCTCTCATCTAAGGCTGTAAGATGAACTAAAAATTTTAGAAAGACAATGATCTTCTTCTCCCATGATATTTTTATGATCAATTCCTTTTAAATTTCTTCATAGTCTTCTAACGAATAAGTTTGTTTATTATAATCATGACCCTTAATTTTTTTGAGAGTATCTGTTATTTTCTTAATGTTTTTCTTTCCAACTTAGAGCATCTAATCCTTACTCAATAGTGATGAATTTTCTAACTATAATATTTCTTATTCGACTTGCTTTTGAATTTAATCTTATGAGAGAAATTCCAGACAATCTTAGATTTTCTCTCTTTTGAATATTTTCAGAAGAATCTATAATACTACTTCATCAAACTCTATAGATAAAGCCAAAACACCATAAAAATCTTCAGCCTACTCTTTTTGGCAATTCATTTTTTTTAAATAATATTGAATTTTTATCACTTTATGTTGGTTTTATTCTATAAATCCAAAATTTCTTTGCAAATATTCCTTAGGAAGAAAAGCAAACTTTTAAATATAGGTGTTGGTATCTATAATAATATAGAAATCAACTTGTGCATGACGCAATTCTTTATGATGTATTATAATTTTTTAGAATGGTTTTAAGATGTGTTAAAAAGGATATTATTGTGAATTTTATAAAATTATAACTTATATTTTCAATTACACTAATTTCGAAAATCAAACTTCCATTAAATTTGGATATTGATTTAAAATCTTAACCTTTTTCATCTTTAAATTCAATACACAAGATTTAACTCATATATTTTGATTTTTTCATTTACAATTAAAAAGCACAATTTAAATATATATTGCATCTTACAAACTTTCTAGTATCTAAAGAAGCATCTCTAATCCTGATATTCTCAAAGCTATATTCTCTCATATCCACCTCATTTCGACTAATAAATTAAAGGATTTAAATAACACATTAGAGAGAGCTCTCATTAATGATTCTCAGATGAATTAGGAATTCAAAAAATTAATCGATCATCTACTCCTTATAATTTTTATAATCAATTCTTTTCTAATTTATTCATAATCTTCTTTTGAATAATTCTGTTTATTAAAGTTAAGTTCACTTATGTTTTAAATTGTTTTTGAAAAAATTTCAACTGAGTGTAATATTATATTTTTAGAAAAAATTCTCAATAATTAGTAAGGTCACTTTTCACATCATCAACTTTTCGATCAATACTCTAGGAATTCTACAATCACCATTAATTAATTTATTTACAGATAAAAACAACAAAGCTATCACTTTGTTATAATATTTTTTCCTCAAATAATCGTGCTAATAATCTAATTTTATGTGCTTCCATTGCTTTACTATAACAGCTCCTCCATGTCGGTTGCAGAGTATTAAATTATGAGATGTGATGAATCAATGCCTTATTTTCTAGCATAATTAGGATGTTTTTTATGGCAGTCCTATCCTGCTTCCTTACGCCTTGAATACTGTGTTGCATCTCAATAAAGCACATGATATTTAAGGTTAGTTGCGCAACTTTTACTTTAATTGCTCCTCCAAACTAGGGATAATCAATTCTATTATTGTTAAACTATTTGCCTAACACTATTATTGTTTCAGCTACTTAATTTTTTGATGGTTATTTCAGACAATAGTTGTTATAATAGGGTTCCTATATTCAAAGATACTTCTAGGGTTTAAAATAAAAAGAAGGTTATCACTCTTCCTATAGTTTAATTTTTTAAAGTTAGGTCTTGAGTAATTAAACTATTTCAACCAATTTTAATATATTTATTTATTCCAATACACACGAATTGATTCGTTTTGATTGATCATCTAATTTGGCAAAAAAGTCTTATTAATATTTTTTCTTTTAATGAAAAATCAAAAAATTTATTGAAATTCATTTCAATATATCTTTTTTCTTAAAATAATGTTACAACCATTCCCTCTATAGCTATATTCCTAAATTCTTCCCTTTTGTGTTCCTTCAAATTTTTCATATTTTCTTTATGCTAACAAGTTAATAATATTGTGTACCATAATGAAGCCATTATGAATTTGCAACATTTTAGAATAAATTTCTTATTCCTAGCAATCAAAAATCCAAGCAGTTAATCTTAAATTTTGAATTACATGATTTAATTTTTTTTCTTCAACCTCCATAATTTTGAACCTAAATTGGGAAACCCCTGCATAAAAGTAGGCTATTGCTATTCTTCTATAAAGGTTATGAAAGGCAAATTCCATGATAAAAGAAATTCTCCAATACTTTGATATGGAAATATTATGATTAATTAGAATAAAAAATGTGTTTGTTGCAAAACATTCTGAAAGTATCTGAAGATTTTGTTTAGAAATTAAGGATTTACCCAAATTCAGTGTATTATGAAAAAGAAACTCTTCCATAGTCAAAAATTATAATAATCCAAGAATTTTTAAGACATCCCTGTAGAAGCAAGTTGAATTTGGAAAAGATAGGAGGCCAGGCTATTGTTCTTAAGTGAACATCCAATATAATTGTAAAAATTGGGTCTAAACTTATATATTATAGGTTAATTTTTAGTTTATTACATGCTTTTGACTAAAAAAATAAGGGATTTCTCAACTATTTCAATCCTCTATCCATATAAAGGAGGAAATCCGATATGAAATATAAATGAAAAAAAGGGAAAAATGGAATTAACAGGAATTATTTAAGGAATTAAATACATAAATTTAAGAGTTCTTTTTCATTAACACCTTAGTATGTAGATAATTTGATTAATTTTAATGCAAATATAATTACAAAAATTAACCTTAAGGTTATGTAGTTAGCATATTTAGCTTATTGATTTCAGGATTGCTTTTTCTCTTATTTTTCAGAGTTTAAAACTCTTAAATACTTGCACTCTAATAGATCTTAATTTATCCTCAGAGTATATCAATTAAATCACCAAAATAATTATGAAAAAATTAATAATTTATATATTTATCAAACATATATTTTTTTTAGTAAAAAAGGATTCGCACTATAGTTATTTAATGCAGCAGTATAAGTTATTCAACAAAAATAATCATTCAGACCACATAAATTGGTTAGAATAGGAAAATCTGCTTTTCATCATATATTTAACTTATTAAGAATATCAATTTTTTATATCATTTTTAAGAATCAATAGGTAGTATTAAAAAAGGATTTTATGATAATATTAAATAATTCGAGAACTGATGTTATTTAGAATAATAGTTTAATATATAATATTTCTGTTGGAATTAAATTTGGAAATTATCAGGGAATTATAAAGATAAGCTTATAAAATAAATCTAGTGTAAAATAGATTACAAATTCCCAATTCCATATTAATGAATAAATACATTCTGGATTCCTAATCAAAAAATTGTCATACGATTCTTGTGCTTAGTCAATTGCTTCAACAATCTTATTTTAATTAATTCCAATTCAAATTACCTTTCTATCATAATGATTCCATATGTTAGGGATTTATGGCTAAAGCTTAATCAAAATATTCAAAGACTTTTTCATAGCGATTCATTGAAAATATTGAAAATTTTTCATTTACTAAATGCTTAAAAAGCATTCCTAACATTATTATGTATAATTAGCCTGCCCTTATAATCCCAAAAGTGAATTTTTTTTATAGAGACTGACTTTCATAAACATTTGCATGCTTCATCGATTCTCCTCAAAACAATATAATTATTATTTATTTCTAAATTTTCAAAAATAATTGGTTGAATTATTTAATGCATAATTGTTACCTTTTCTTTCCATTGCCTCTGAAGAATGAGGATCTTTGCTTAAAATCTTACTATATGCATCAGTAGTGTCTTAATAAAAAAGTAATAAACAATCTCCTAAATAATCTTAAATCGAAATTTACCATAATAAAAGAAATAGTCTTTATTAATAAATTTAATTGTAGAAATATTGGTTCAGAATTTTTCCTATTACCTATTGCATTGCTTCTTTTTTTAATTAAATTAATTGTTTGGCATTTTGTGAAGCGGAAATCCTTCAAAATCTTTAGGCTGATACTCGGAAGAAGGACCACTAGGAGATATCAAGTAAACTATTATTTTTAAATGATCATGGTTGGTTCTTTTGGGCTACAAATTATCAACCCTTTATATCATTTACTTAGAATCAAAAGTTATAATATTTTCCACTGTAAGAGATACTGAACAATTGTAGTGTGAGTTGATTTAAATTGTTCCTTTACTGATTGTTTTGCAAGCCAAATTACAGTTTAAATTTATAAGTGTTAAATTAAAAAGCTGAACTAACTATTGATTGCATAATATTGTGCTTCTAAACTCATTTTTTTTAACAATTATCAAATATAAAAAAACAACAAGCAATTCAGTAAAAGAAAATGCTATTTTATGGGAGCTGAAAAAAATTAACATCTCATCGCAATGTTATTCCTTGGATGGACCCCAATTAGATTAGGAGAAACCTTATAATTGTTCCTGAATTATGCCTAAACAAAAGGACCACATCGTTGAAAATAGCACGAGTATAATTCTTGGCTTATGGCATGGTACCAAAATATCCTTATGCGAGATTGGAAATATATAATTATTCTATATCAATTCTTCTGGTTAATATCCTCCTACATCTCATCCTTCCTTATCGTAATATACAAAAAAATTTACAAATCCCTTCATAACCCTTAATATCAAATTTTTTCAATAATAATTTAATTCTAAATTACGCACACTCAACTATTTATTTTTAATAAAATCCCATATGGTCTATTCAATCATTATTTTTGGTAGTTTTGTTTTTAACAGAGGGTAAGGTTGAGTAGTGTGGCGTACAAAGAGTGAGAGATAAATAAAAGTATATTAATAATAGATTGTTTAATTCATATTACTATAAATAATGATACGTATGATATATTTGCAAAGCATATTGTTTTATAATAATCAATTTTATTGTTTTTGTAATCTAAATTAGTTTTCTAAAATACAACTTCCTTTAGATTTGAATAATTATTTTAGATTTATGTCTTAATAATTTACAAAATCTCCTTTCAAAATAAATGCTCCTTAAGCTTCTAAATTTTAATATTAGGAAATATTTAAAATTGTTAAATTAGAAGTTGCTTAAAAGAATATTAAAAATAAATACAAATTTTTGGAGAGACTAGATTATTAATTATTAAAGGCTAAAATTAAGCTAAAATATCCTTATATAGATTATTTGAAGTTAAGATTTGTTTTCGAGATCGTACGTCCCATAAACGAGTAGACTCATCATAACTATCAGATGCTAACGTAGTACCGTCAGAAGAGAAACAAACAGGTCTAACATTATTCAAATGACAATCTAATTTGGCTTTTGATTATCTTGTCTTAACCTCCCATAAACGGATAGACTGATCTGAGCTACCAGATGCTAATATTTTACCATCAGGAGAGAAATTGAGTGAAGTAACAGTGGATGAATGGCCATCTAATTTGGCTTTTTATTACCCTGTTTTAACTTCCCATAAACGGATAGACTGATCTGAGCCACCAGATGCTAAAATAGTACCATCAGGAGAGAAATTGAGCGAAGTAACAGTTGATGAGTGACCATCTAATTTGGCTTTTTATTTTCTCGTCTTCACATCCCATAAACAGATAGACTTATCTCCACTTCCAGATGCTAATGTAGTTCCATCAGGAGAGAAATTGACTGACCATACAGCTCCTAAATGACCATCTAATTTGGCTCCTTTATATTCTTTCTTAACATCCCATAATTGGATAGACTTATCATAACTACCAGATACTAATTTAGTACCATCAGGAGAGAAATTGAGTGAAGTAACAGTTGATGAGTGACCATCTAATTTTGCTTTTTATTATCCTGTTTTAACATCCCATATACGGATAGAATTATCATCACTACCAGAAGCTAATGCATTACCATCAGGAGTGAAATTGGCTGATCTAACATAACTTGAATGACCATCTAATTTTGCTTTTTATTATCCTGTCCTAGCATCCCATATGCGGATAGACTTATCATCACTCCCAGATGCTAATGTAGTACCATCAGGAGAGAAATTGACTGTATAAACATAACTTGAGTGACCATCTAATCTAGCTTTTTATTATCCTGTTTCAACATCCCATAAAATGATAGACTTATCATCGCTACCAGATGCTAATGTAGTACCATCACAAGAGAAATTGACTGACCATACAGTTCCTGAAAGACCATCTAATTTGGCTTTTTTATATGCTGCCTTAGGATCTCAAATACGAATAGTCTTATCATAACTACCAGATACTAATGTAGTACCATCAGGAGAGAAATTGACTGAAGCAACAGTTGATGAATGACCAACTAATTTGGCTTTTAATTATCCTGTCTTAAAATCCCAAATACAAATAGACCTATCATAACTACTGGATACTAATATAGTACCATCAGGAGAAAAATTGACAGAAGTAATAGTTGATGAATGACCATCTAATTTGGCTTTTAATTATCCTGTCTTAACATTCCAAAGACAAATAGACTTATCTCCACCACCTGATGCTAATGTAATTCCATCATGAGAGAAACCTACTGAACAAACATTATTTGAATGACCATCTAATTTGGCTTTCTATTATCCTGTCTTAATATCCCATAACCGAATAGAGTTATCTTCACTACCAGATGCTAACGTAATACCATCAGGAGAAAAACAGACTTAATTAACCCAACTCGAATGCCCAACTAATTTTTCTATTTATTATCCTGTCTTAACATTAAATAAACGAATAGAGTTATCATAACTACCAGATGCTAATGTGGTACCATCAAATGAGAAACATACTGAAGTAATGGTGCCAATATGACCAATTAATTTAGATATTTATTTCCTTGTTCTAAAATTCAGTAAATGTACAATTTCTCCACAACAAAAAGATAATGTAGTACTATTAGATGATAAGCATACTGATTTTACCTTTCCCTTGCCTCTGATTATACTCTTTATTTTCCCTGTTTTCACATCCCAAAAACAAATTGATTTATCGTCACTGCAAGATATTACCGAATTACCATCTGAAGAAAAGCAAACTTCATTAACACTATTAAGGTGACCATTACACTTATTTAACTCATCTATTTTTATATTCCTCCACTTACAATAAAATAATTTGGCTTAATTTAAGTTCATTCCACTAATAATAACATTGTCAAATTATGATCCGCTTAAGTCACATCTTACTAAATTTGCTCCTGCTAAGGATGTATTTCTAATTCTAATATTCTCAAAAACATTATTCTTTCAAATCAATTTTCATCAAAATTAATAAATGAAGAGAATTCGATCCACACTAGATGTATCTCTCGTCAAAAGCAGTAAGATGAACTAAAAATATCAGAAATTCTATAATGTTCTTATCCAACGATATTTTTATGGCCAGACCCTTTTTAATCTCTTCATAATCACCTATCGAGTAATTCTGTTTATTAAATTCATGCTCCTTTATTATTGAGAGAACATTTGTAATTTTCTTAATGTTGCATTTAACAGCATCTATTTTCCAATACTTATCAAAATGCTATAGATTGTCACATAAAAATAAGTATTTTTCATAACTAATTTGACATTAATTCGAAAGAAATTTTAGAGTATCTGAATCCCTTTCCTTTAAGAGCATTTCAATTATTAAATTGTAGATTTTAACATCTATTTCTACAATAAATTATAAAACCTCAAGCAAATCAGCTTTCCTGTTTTGAGTCATTTTTGTTAAATATAATATTGAATCACCATTACTTAATTTTGAGTTTTATATTTTCAACCAAAAGTATACTGACATATTTTTAGAAGAAAAAAAATTGTTAAAATTTAGTTTTTGACATAACTTTAGAATAGTGACAACCCAAAGAGAATTGTATATAGCTTGAATAGAAGGAAAATACAAATTGAATTTATTAACAAGACCACAACACAATAACCATGATTTCTAAGTTAAAATATCAATAAAAAATAAATATTAATGTGTATTAGTATGCAAATGTTAACTAATATAGCCAAGTTGTTTAGAAAAAAATTCATATATTAGTACTTTCTAATTTGCGAGTCCCAATTTCCCATCACTTGTTTCAATAATTTTTGAGTTAAGTAGCTTTATTTACCAATATATGCACTAAATATTATCAACCTTAGTGCAGTAAATATGGCACTTATATAAAAAAAGAAGATCTATATTCTGTCCACATAATTAAAATACAAGTCCACTTTTTACTTTCTGAAACCATAGTGCTCATATTTTTGTTCTATTAATGCGATTCTCATGCATATAATTATTAAGATGGTGCAGCATACTCTGATTGTATAAACTCTTTCATTAAACGCTAGTACTAGGATAATAGTTTAGAGAAAGTTATTGGATATTATAAATATATTAATGATGAAACCTTAGCGTTTTAATTCTTGGTTTTATAAGTGTGAAGGAGATACATTTTTTCCAACTACTATTATCTAACTTTTGAGAAAATGTCAAATTTACACAATTCTTTATTGCTTGCAGACATT